GTCAAATATACACGAAGACCAAGAGACAAACCATATCACACATTCGCTCTTTACGACATTAAACAGGAGTCATACAATCTCCAAGTAGTCCCTCCTCCCTCCCACGTTTCCCTCTCTCTCTCTCTTTCCGGTTACTATGCCCACTACCAGTCCAAATAAACACTTACTGCTTTGAGTATGTACTTCCTTAAAAGAGAAACGCCAAAGAAATAAAAAGGTCAGCATGACTTTAAAAACTGGCTAAGGATGTAGGTTTTGGATAGGGCGCACACAGGTCGTTTCGCACTCAGGCCTCGGCGCACTTCATTCCCTTTACAATGGAATAACCTAGGAGTAGTCAAATCCTGATATTCTGGATGTATTACAAGAAGCAAGAGAGCAGAGTAGAAGGAATATAAGTCCTTCAGGCCTCAGGTGTGTGTGTGTGTGTGTGTGTGTGTGTGTGTGTGTGTGTGTGTGTGTGTATGCCACAAATCTTCCCCAAACGCAGACACTTCAAAGAACAGCAAGAACAGCTAGGAGAATTTACAGCCCCTACATTCTTTTACGTTTCACTGCCACCGGGCCGAGAACCCCTCCCCGTCTTTCCTGTTATCTGCGGCTGCAATGTGTGTGCTTTACTGCATACAACATTTAAGAGGTTTTATTAATATTTAAAAGCTAAAGCACACATCTGTTGGTGAGTGCTGAATGCTGGTGTGACTTGATAAAAGAGGAAGAAAAGATACTGCGCGTACACAGTCGCACAAACACTCACACAGCAATAAAACGTGCTTTAGAAGAACACTAAAACACATTCTCACACTGCCATAAAACGTCACGTCACGCGCTGGCGTGCGCGCACACACACACACACACACACACAATACAGCAAACAAATGCGCACTGTAATAAATCCTCTCTTTCTTACACGCTCACACACACGTACCCAGTGCAATAAACACACCCTCTAGTCTAAGTAGTCTGTGTTGGCAAAATGCAAGAATGAACACTAGATGGCGCCAGATAGCGGGTAAATGGCTTATGTGTTGGGATTTGTGTCGGCAGCTCTCAACAACAAGAAGCTGACCAGATTCTTGTACCTAGGAAGATGAAATTAGGAAAATATCGAGCAAGTTAATGCACACAGAAGTTTTTGATAAATAAAAAAAATACTGAATATTTATTTGTTCATAGTCTATTGGATGGATATTCTGTGAGACTGCCAGTCTCTGTGTAAGAGACAGAGAGATGATAGTTCTGAAATATGTGAGATATATTCCAAGCATTTTAGTAATTATATACAAGTTACCTAAAAAAATAATAATAATAATAAAAAGAAAAAAAATATGGGAGTCATGCATAGACAGACAAGAACGTTACATATTTGCTGGACAGGATGGAACAGATTAGAAGGGATCAGAGAGGGAAAATAGCCTATGTCAGGCAGAGCCGCAAGGAATCATTACCTTCCTCTCACAGCAGCCGGTAGAATAACCTGGAAGATTTGTTCATCTGATCTGGAAATGAAAGACCTCCTATGCAAAACACAAGGAGACCTTTGGGTATTTGGCGTATTTTAAACATAACCCTAACATTGAAGTGAGGCCTTCAAGTATTATTATATTTTCTGTTTATTTATTATTAGTTTTTTATTATTATTATTATTATTAGTTTGTGATATAGGGCGGTATGCAATACATTTTATCGCATGTAACTTTAAATGTGGCACGGAATAATATCTCGAGCATTTCACTTCATAAATGACCGAGGGATACAAGGCTAAATCCAACTGGCAAGACAGCAGCTTCTTCAAACCTCGCCCTCTCGCCGCAGCCATGACTGCGCTTCATATCATAAATACAGTAATGCAGTGGGAAACCCCGAAATCAGCACATCTGAATATCTGTAAATGCACACGATGCATTAGGTCTAAACACCACAAAGCTGACCAGAAGAAAACACAATGAAAGGCACCAAAACGCTTATGTCTGCTCCACCCAATATTTAAATTAATAATTGGATTTAGACAAGGTGTTTACTAATAAGTCGCGCGTGTACAGCTTAGAAGTAGAGTACGTCCATCCAGTGCGCATGATTAGGCTTGGTCGAGCTCTTACCTGAGAGAAACGATGCGGTTGCGAGACAATGACAGACTTACCTTTGTTGATAATTCGTCACCCAGTACCAGGACAGAGAGGCGCAAACCTCTCGCCGTAGCTCGCGCTCGGTAAGTCCTGTTGCTCTTCTTGGTCCCGCCATTAGTGCGAAGCAGTGAAAATGACAGCGGTACCACAGCTTCCATCCGTTACACCCGCTCTAGTCAACGGGACTCAGACCCCAGTATGAAAAATTAGATGAGACCCTACTGCGTGTCCAGATTTCAATAAGACTCCATCGCAGTGGTTATCCCAATCACAGGCGGCCACATTAGCATTGCAGAGCGGAGAGGAGGCTGATCTCTCCCTGTTCATTCTGAGAACATCAGCCTGAACAATGCTCTCCGGCTGTGTGAATTTTCAGTGTTGGTTAAAATATACTATAAAAATAGAGCAAGAACCTTTAAGGAGCACAGTGAAGCTACATTAAGTGCTGCGGCCAAAAGAATGCAGCAATATAACCACTTGGGAAATCATAAAAAGTTCATGTTCACGGTTACTCGTCCACATGACCATTCTCGGCCAATCCCAGGACCCAGGCACTCATAAAGTTCTATCACAAAGTTGTAAATTTTCATAAAACAACAAGGAATTTATTGCATTTCTTCATGGCTGTTTTAACAGCAGTAGCTCTGCCGTCGCCATCTTTTTCGCTATACAATCCTAAGGAAAAGTTCGTATTTTCGTGCTTGTTTCCATGCACTGGTATACTAACTAAAAAGCGTATTAGTCAAACGTGTAAGATAATAGGCTTAAACGTGATATTTGCCTTTTTGAAGCCACAAAATAACATCAGTGCCCTTTAATTTTTTTTTCATAATTTAAGGCAATTTAGCACGGATCAGCTTTAATATGAAATGAAGCAGGGATACAGTTGTTATAGGTTTAATGTGCTATAACAGGTTAGTGACTAAGTCACTTTTTTGGGGGGATAATTTCTACCTCAAAAGACCATGATTGCTCTTTATTTTTAAAATGTTCGAGCTGAGGATTAGTTACGTTAAAATCAGACCCATAATATTGTACAGTAATATGAAAAAAAGAATTAGCCGATTAAAATAATTTAAATTAATATTTTTAATATTGATTAATACTGTAAAAAGTCGATTCAGACAGAAAGACAAATGAGTGAAAATTTCGTTATAATACAAAAAAAAACATTTCAGAACGAAAGATGTAGGACGAAAACATTTGTCACGTTAATGCAGTACTGCAATGCTCAACCTTGACAGTTCAAGCAATATATACACTGCACACAACTATAGGCTAGATGCACGAAAAATTCGCAATGCGACAAAATGCACGTTATTGAACAGCACAATAAAGCGAACAGCATTGAAGACTTTGGAGATTTGCTTTAAACAAAATAAACACATTAATTAAAATACGGGTCACTTATAATATTACAGTGTTGTCTAAATATGAAAAGGTATTGTCACCAAAAGCTTAACTGCTAAAAGATCTGAAACAAGAAAAGACTGACCGTTTTCCCATTCTGCAAATTTTTGTCCCTTTTATGGCGTTTCCGGCTTTTTTATTGATGCACTAAACACATTAGTTTACAACCCCATAATATAAACGCCTTCTTTTGGTCTCACACGATACAGAATCTGTCACTTCCCTACAAGCACTCGGCTTGACCTAAGGGGGGGAAAACAAAGTCACAATAAGCGAAAACTGTTCTATTAATATTAATGTAGTGACAATGTCACTATAATATTATAGAATAAAACTAATAATGCTTTGGTGCTTTGTGAAATAACTTTCATTCCACTGATCACTGCTAAATCTACTACATTAAATAACTGTTAATTTTCTTGTTAATTTATAGATATTTAAAGAATTCAAATATTTAAAATGTTTTATCATTATTATTTTTATTATTATTGTAATTTGTATTCTTTTGTCCACAACAAAACAAAAACTAAATAATTTTCCCAAATAATGTAAAAGTATTAATAAAAGCTTTTAGCTTTTTTTTTTTTTTTTTTGCGTATTACTAACATTTTAGTAATATACTCATGTAACTGTTAATATAAATAAAACAACTTTTTTCGAGGATGTATTAACCTGATGAAATTAATGAAATTAAATGCATAGAAATTAATAAAGAATAACCGTAAAAGTAGACATCCAGGCAAGGTTGCTTTATTACTTTTCTATTTTTTATATTATTCTTATTCTTATTCTTATTCTTATTATTGTTATTATTATTATATAAAACACTAAACAGAGGCGGATTTTCGAGTGGCCTTTTAGGGCAATATTTTAAAAAGTCCATGCGTTTATAAAAATACATGCTCATCGTATTATCACATTCAGGGATCTTTGGCTCAACATTACTGTGATTTTAATTCGATTAGAAACGAAAAGCAAGCAAAGAACACAGAAAAGAAAAATCCCCGAGAGGCAAAAATTTAAACATCTTGTAGTCAGCTCTAGTTTATTTGAACACTTTCACAAAATATAACAGGGAAAAAATGCTTAAGCAGACAAAAATTTACACATAGATACAGAATAGGAATATATCAAAATATGAAATCATTACAAATAGCTTGCTCCCTTCCGTGTTTGACCCCACAGTGACTAGTCCGAACGTGGTCACAAATATGAGTCACAAATATATGAAATAGCCTATATATTCCAGTATTATTAACACTATATTAATCTATATGTATAGCCTATAATTTAGGCTGCTTATATTGGAGTATTAAACCTATATTAAAATGCGTTTTAAAATTACTTGTATTACTAGGCCTATATTTACTATAGTATAGTCTAACACATTAACACCTCTAACACAAGTTACAGGTAGACGACAGTGACACTTTATACAGTATTGTAAGTAGCATGTCTTTTTTTCCAACTCAGTGTATCCTGAAATAAAGCAGGTTGAATCGATAGTATAGTCTATAGTATAATCTATTTTTATGTCTTCCACTTGCGTGGCTACTCATCATCTTCCTCTTCCTCGTCGCCCCCGATTTGGTCAGCAGCAGGAGAGCAGCGGCCCATTGATTTGTTCTCTTTCTTCCATTTCATCCTTCTGTTTTGAAACCAGATTTTTATCTGGCGTTCGGTCAAGCACAGGGCGTGTGCAATCTCAATACGCCGCCGTCGTGAAAGGTAACGGTTGAAGTGAAACTCTTTCTCCAACTCTAATGTTTGATAGCGGGAATATGTCTGACGGCCTCTTTTCCGGTCCGCACCTGTGGAAATGGGAAAGGATCAGAAAGCATAACAAATACGAATATATGTATACCAACAACATTAGTAAAGAATAATATGAAGTGTTCGAATCTTTTTCGGTAGTTCAAATCAAATGTAAAAAAATTATTCCGCCTGGGTGAATTGGTGTGAATGAAAACAAAACACTTATAATTCAATTAAAATAATTTAAATATGATATAGTGATCGAAAAAATAATTCAGATTTAAGCTACTTCAACTTAAACTTGCCACTTCAATGAGTTAATGTAAAACGAGAAATTCGACATATTTTAGTATTTTCCGTAATATTGCACACTAGGGAAAAAGAGTCAACAACACGCATGCTGCTTCTTGTAGGTGTATTATTATCGCACCATAAGCAAAGCGGCCAGTGATTATACAAACACATTTTCAGATATTGAGATTTGTGACTGTAAATACTTAGATACGACTTGTTAGCTTTTTGCAGAGTGCCTAGGCGAAAAACCATCACATAATAAGCAGTTATTACATCCAGATTTTTTTTAAAAAGCGGCAATCAAATCCAAACGTTTTAAAGACTTCAAAATTATAGTTTTTTATAAATAATTGTATTCCTTACATTTAGGTCACAAACTGTAGTGAAAACATAAAGCAAAACGAAACACACATAGGCTACACATATGTGATTTAAGCATGTGTTTAACCACTATTTAAGCATTAAGTTTTAACTCTATATTAAGGTTAAGACACAACAGTAGCTAATCAAAACTTTGAAAGGTAAAATATATCTTAAATATAAAAGTGGAATGTAATTCAAAAGCAAAATGAAAGTGCACAAATACCCCTTCTGAATGTAAATTCACTGGCTTGCACTCTCCCGTGACTCTAATGGAGCCCTGGCGTTCAGACTTCCTTCTAAACCTGACCAAAGTCAACAACATGATCTAGTTCCCTTACACATAAGCGCTGAAGTGTTCGTCTATCCATCTAGATAAAGAAGCCATCTATGTAAAGTATCCATCTTTTAGCTGCACGTTTAAAGAGAAGAAATCTAACTAGACTTTCAAAACCTTGTCCATGCACGGTCAGTGACTTTCTGCTGTCCCTGCGTTTCCGTTTCCAGCAGACTGTCGACAAATGGGGACTGCTTTGAGTTCGTGTGCTTTTTGAACTTTTTATTGCACTCTTCAGTCGTTTGTATCTTACTTCCGTCTTGTCGGCAACGCCGTGTCACTTCTTGTTGATACTAGTCTAGCACAAACTGTCCAAAAGCATAAAGAATTTGAGTGAAAAGCAGAAGAAATGAGAGAAATCGAGAGAATTAAATACAAGTTTAGTATTGAAATCAATAAAAATGATAAAGCTGTTTCGTTCTTAAAGATGTATAAAATAAGTGCATAAATTGTATGTCCTTGCAGAACGAAACGCTTTTATACGAGTTAAAACAAGGAAGAGCATTGTACTCGGTTACTGTGCAGGGTCTCTACACAGGCTCCCGAATGATAGACATGGAAAAAGAATTTTCATCTGGTGTGTGAATGTGTCTGTCTGTGAATAGTGAAAGAGAAATAAAGCGAGGGACAGAGCCCATCTATGTGAAATATCAAACCAAAGCACGAAATCAACTGAAAAGGCAGCCGGCCCTATAGTAACAAAGACACAAAACCTAATGGTTGGAGGTGCAAGGCCCAGCTTATGTGTCTGATATGTTAAAAAAATTATAGGAGCAGAAGGATTAGCCTACTTCTTGTGATTAGCCTATATGTGTTTATATACTTGTGAATATTTGTTGTAAGGCCCGACTTCCTTCTATGCATCTGTCTACACCAGTTTTGGCGTATCATAAGACCAAATAAGTGGCCTTTACAGCAGACATGACAGGACATCAGTGGACTAATATGATCTTTTTAAAAACAATACAAAATTTAAATGCTTAAAATACCGTTTCCCTATTTGAAAGAGGCTTAATGTTTACAATCGAAATTCGGTCGATTGGCTGCGGATATTATTACAACTAAAATGATTTAAAATGTTGTATCTCTCTGCACAACGACAGTAAGATAGGCTAACTATGACTCATGCATTACTTTTAAATGGCATTGGTATTTCACACAAAACTAAGACACAGAACGAAAATGTACACCAAAGGCGCGCAAGGACTATCTGTCAGTAAATGTCAACAACTTTGCTAATGAGGTATCTGTTTCAAAAGTATTTATGTTGTTGTATTTTTACACTGGGAGCTAACAAGAGAAGAAGCGCCCCAGGTTGACAGTTGACTGATAGGAACGTCGCTGCTCGTGGGGAGTGTCTTGAAAGGCCGCAAAAAATCATTAAAAGAGAACTTGTCGACCTCCTTTTCAAATACGTCAGCCTGGATGTGGGGTGGCTATGTGAGAAGAGTGCAATTACTACGAAAAGTTGACGATTTGTTAAAAACCATTGTTGAGCGAATAATTAGTAGCGGAACTAGCCGTAGATCTTGAGTCGTATGTTTTGTGAAATTTCCAACACATGCGCGCGTGCACGCACGCAGGCATATACATGTACAGCATATGCATATCTAAAACACACACACGCCAACGCAGACACTGTTAAATTTCTGACAGTAATTTAAAACAAAGGTCCACCCAGCTCTAACAGACCCTAGAAATACAAAGCCCCGCCCTCTGTATCGATAATATGAGGATTTTTAGCCATGACTGCCAACATACTAACTTATAGATGGATTCATGTGTACACGCAGCAACATATGCAACCATGACAACAAATATCTTGGATATTTGTTAAAGCTAAACATAATTCATCAAGCCTCTCATATACCGCCCCCTCCCTTTTCCTCAAAACACGAAATACTACTAGGGTGTCTTGAATTATGGCGAGTAATTAGTCATTAAAAAGATCTGAGGAAAAGAACACTTTTTGAAATGACTTGGTCGCTCCCCTTAACCTGTCTCCCTCCCCCTCAGACATACATAGACGCAGACCCCGGTCCTTAAGAAACATTCAGTTTTCACAAACCTGTGCTCCTCATCCACGGATAGATTCGGAGGTTGTTTTCGTTGTTTTGATGGTAGCCCCTCTGCTCTTCTTTATCACTGCTTTGCGCTTTACAGAGATCGCCAGCGCTCACCATGGGTAGATTCGGATGGTCAAACAGAGAGCTGTGCATGTTCAACGAAACAGCTCCCAGTTCATACGCAGTAGGGTACATGCCTTGAGTCTGGCTGGAAAGACTAGCACCGTTAGTGTACATGCTCGACAGGGAGACAGAAGATGTAGAGCAGACCGGTGCACCACTAGAAGCCGAGCCGTAGCCGCTGGCCCGCTGCGAGCTGCACGAAAAGGCGCAAGAAGTTTGCTCGGGAAACACGCCTGTAGAGAAGGCTGAACTGGCCACTTGGTATTTGGAAAACAACGCGTTCGCATAATACAATGAACTCATAATTTGAGAAGTGATTTATATGCCAAGAAGTTTTAGTGTCGGTTTTACGAGGTCCAATGATATATTATAGAATTACAGTCTAGATTTACACCAAAAATCACCCCTTTTTCCTCTGGGGCCACGTGATGGGCAGCACGTGATGAAATATCCTCCAATGGGTGTACGTCTTCCCAGAGCCCCGTCTAATGTGGAGAATGGCTTTGCAGCTGACCATCCACATAAATTTGTTAAATTATTAACTTACAGCCAACGCTACCGTCAACACAAATGCACATGGAGAACACACAAATCGATAGGCTATTGAGAAGTTTTCTGTAATCACCTAAATCCGTGCCAAGAAATAAATAATTGTGGGCTGTACAAACTTATAAATGAGTTCAGGTTGTCCTGATTTAGGAACGTGCCTCCTGTTTGGGAGGCCACCACACAAATAACAAGAAACCTATTTATTTCTGTATTGATTTTCAACACTATTTCCTCTTGTCACCGGTCCTGCGCATACCCCAATCTCATCACTGCATTTCTGCAATGTTTGTACAGTGTGCCCGTGTCAAGAGCAGTGCCTGCTTCAAAGCATCCCTATGTCCTGAACAGTCACCACTAACTAGCCATTTCCATGGCGACGGAATGGTTCAGTGCACCCCAAACAGTTTCCCTGTATATAGTTAGCAAATACGTTCACGCGAGAGCTCTGAATCTTGTCGTGGAACTTGTACTCTCTGAATGTTTGAGAAGCCCACATACTTTAAGACAGTAATTCACCTCACACGATGTGCTCCCATAACTCAAATACCCACATTTAACAAAGACCAGCAAGATGAAATTTCGTTTTAAGAGATTTTCGATGCAGATTCACGATAATACATAGTCTGTTTCTGTTTAGTGGGTATTATGTCGTGTTGTGTTACAATATTGGTCTGACAAAGTAGTCCTGAGGGTTTTCAGTTGTGGTTTCACATGCCGCCTCTCTTTTAGTTCACGTATCTAACTATACATCAAAAATCATACCACACTACATTACTTTTCTATGAGATTTACAAATGTGTAAACATATTATGTTTTATTGTTCCATAAATTTGTTCTCTTCCATTCTATTCCATGTTTGTGCTTATATAGATTCTTTGAAATTAAGGCCTATGTTTTAACATTTTTAAGCGGACATTGGAACCGCACATTAGCGAGAAATGATGTAGAGGATGCATGGTGCCAGGGATTGTCGCTTGTAAACTTTATTGTAAACTTTAATCTGCCGGATTTCTCCAGTTTTAGACACTAGAATACAGTTAAGTATGACAGCAAAACATATAGTCATCTCATAAACTACTTCAGTAAAGGTGAACGACAACAATTTGACTCATAGTAAACAATGGGTCACATGACATAATTTTCAAAATTCTTTTTTATTATGTTTATTCATTTTTATAATCCACTGTGCGCATGCTTACCCCATGAAAGAAAGACAACAAAAATACCATCGATTTAAGAAGAACCAAAGACGTGTAAAAAGAGATTCTACGGCATAAATAGGCAGTTTCATGTTGTTGGAAGTCATTAATTTCTACGTCATCATCATAACATATAAGTGAGAACAGTTAAAAGTGCACCATTTAACTTAAAAACTATACAGCTGCCAAGGTAATTGTTAATGACAATATCCTAACAATTGAAACTTAAGTTTCACGATAATTATTTCACAAAGAAAGGAGACTAGCTTTAACACTATCATACTCTCTGAGCAACAATTAAAAAGTAGAAATGCCTCTTGTCCTTCGTCTTCCTGAAGTTCTGTGGTCACCACATTAAGTTTATAGTCATTCGTCTAGTCCCAGTCATTTTTTATGTTCCTTCCTTGAGTGAAAGATGTAACCACTCGACTTGATTAAAATGTCTCTGTGAGACAAACCTCATGCAAACACCGTTATTCTCTTCATCATTGTCCGTTTTATTTTCCCAATTTATTCTTTGCCATTTTGATTGACTGACACGTACACACACAAACACACACACACACACTCTCTCTCTCTCTCTCTCTCTCTCACACACACACACACACGCTCGCATCCGCTCTACATTTGTTTTGCCTTGTCGCAGTCTTCGCCGGCTGACTGTGTCCCGGATTCCTGTTCTTTCTCTCGTTTCTCTTTTTCGATCTGCTCTTGTTCAGATTTGCTGCTTGGAAACTTGTCCTTGTTGTTTTCCTTTTTCCATTTCATGCGACGGTTTTGAAACCAGATTTTGACTTGTCGTTCTGTCAGTCCCAAAGCGTGTGATACTTCAATCCGCCGCTTGCGTGTTAGGTAGGGGTTGAACAGAAACTCTTTCTCGAGTTCGAGCGTCTGATAGCGGCTGTAGGTCTGGCGGCCTCGCCTCCGTCCGGCAGCTACTGGCAATAAAGAAGTTTACAGATGTTAGACAGAGCTCACAATACGCGCCAAATCGTAATTTTACAATGAAGTTCAAACATATTTGTGAACCAACATTGCACAAAGGCAACTTCCATGCGAAATTAACATCTACAGTACATAATCGCGATACATTATTAGTTTATGGGTAGACTTTTAGTGTACCATGGAGACTCCCCACAGCCACAGTAATTAATGTAAAAGCTCCGCCATTACAAATATAAGTACCACAACACTAATACAAAATAATGAGCAACACTAACCCCACAGTTGAGTGGTCAAAAAGCAGGCTATACTATTTCACATTTTCAAAGGATTAGGCACAGCCATAATTGACATAATCATTGTAAAACGACCATTGTGTACTGAAATAAACTCAAGGCTCACTGTAAGTCGTTAAAGGCTGCAGTAAAACTTTGACCTGGGTGAGCCGTTGGACCAGCTGTGGGGCAAAGTCTCGCACATGGAAACAGCAAAAAGAGAAGGGGCTTTTCTCTCGCCCTCTTCTTCCTCTCTCCCACTCTCCTGTCTTTCTATGGCAGGGTCATTAAACTGTAAAGTGATTCACAAGTTTTGAACACCATAAAACAATAAAAACGGCTATTGTCCCCCCTCCTCTCGTGCACACAGAAAATGCAATTCTAAACCTAAATTGCACTGAGATTTTTTCGTGTGGCTAACCCAGGTTTATGTCACTTACACAAACACACACAACGCGAGTTGGCCGGCTTTTCTGTCTACCGAAGCTCACCTTGAGGTCGCATCCACGGGAACAGCTGTGTGGGCGACGGACTCTGCTCTGCTTTGTCCGTCTCGTCGCCGATGCCCCCCGTGGCGAGCTTGCAGTCGCTATACTGAACCAAGTCGGCGTCTTGAGCACCGAAAAGCGTTTGCCTCTGGAGAGCATCATAACCGTAGAAGTTACCCGGCTCGCCGTGACAAGTTACTGCACAGGGACTCTGCTGGTAAGGAGCTGCGGAGAGCGTGGATGCGCCGTGGTGATAAAACTCCTGAATCTGAGGGGCATGCTGAAAAGTGGCCCCGGTGCCTGGACCGTACACGACGGTGGGTCTCGTCCCTAGGTCCTGAGCAAATCCGCACTCGTAATAGTTTGGCCGCAGAGTGTCTCCACTTTTGTATTTAGTGAAGAGAGAGTTGACGAAATATGAGCTCATCTTTTGATGTTGTAGGCGCTGATTTTGTTGAAGAGTTTGCGTTTGAATGTCTTTATATAAGCGCAGTAGCTTCAGAGAGTTGTCAGTTTCAAAGTTACTGAGGTAACAAACAATGCAGCAGCCAAGCCTTGATTTCCAGTAACTGAACGGTTTGCGTTTGCATACCTTTGTTAAAATAACTTGTCTAAAGCTTCCATAGGCATGTTCCCACTGTAGAGTTCCAGCATCACAATTCTGGTGAAGGGTGCCAGTTCCCAACCAGTTTTCTATGATTTACTCGGCTGCAAAAGAGCAGTTTCATATTTTGCTGTGTGTTTTCACGATCATTTGCATCTTCTATCGGATCCTCGTTCCATTGGCTTTTCGCATCCCTACACGGACACCGCTCTGCGCGATTCTGATGTGAAGAGAGTGAGAGAATGAAAAAGAGAAAGCGAGTGAGAGAGAGCTGAGAGGGAGAGAGCGCGACGGAGCAGGAGAGGGAAGGGGGGCCAAGGGAGAAAGAGGAGGGGAAAATATGCACATTAATATGTTCAAGCGGGTAAGTTAATGAGAAATCTGCCGCTTTGCATCAGATCAAGTGCATAGCCTCTGTCCCTCCACCCCTACTCAACTTCTCCACTCCAAACCCCTTTGAAAGGTTGATTTTTTGCATGTTCATCACAGACAACCTAACGTGATGCATATTTAGTCGTTAATTTCCAAATCTCTAACGAGGTCGAGCCTCCTTTTTTTTTTTTTTTTAAATGTCAGGGTCGAGACGGCCAATCTTAAAAGGTACATAATTTAATTGGCATCAGTTTAAATACATCCTATAAACCTTATAAGCACGCTTAAACTTACAAAATCATCCTCTGCAGCGACCAAGGCGTGCGCATCGAAAATTAGCGAGGTGGTCATATTTAATATTCTGATAATTGTATTTATATAAATATAGTTACAGAGATATGAGGATGGTGAAATGGACCTGCAGGTGTAATGGCAAATGTGGTTGTAAATTGTTTAACAAACTATAAAATGCAATAAACGCCCCTACTGTTTGTTGTTGACGTAGTGCATCATGAAAAGCTGTTAGGTTTTTATGAGGTTCCACGAACAGTGCTGTAAATTCTTCACTCCGGATTTTATCCATGCAGAAATAGTAAGTCCTTTGATTGCCATTTTCGTTTTGTTTTCCATACAGTCTGCCATTGTGTTTAGCACGAGTAAATCTGATTAACATTACCTAGAAAATCCGAGGGGTGAAAAGTACCGTGCAAGGAATTTTCTAATGGTAAAAATGCAACTATCAGTGAATAAATCAATTAAAATTAATTAACAAACAAGTAATATGTTTTACGTGCTTGTATCAGTTTAAAATGTTCCTGGATTCGTTTTGATTTGGGAGAAAAATATGGAATTCTAATTGTAAAATTATTATAGAATTATTTAACTTCTCATATTTTCAAAAAATCAAAGATTTTGTCATTTGTTATTTTAAAGTATGCTTATACACTGAATAAAAATGCTCACCTAACGCACAAAAAGTAATATTTTTTAAATCTATATGACACATATGGTCTAATGCCGGTGCTTGTCATTTTACAACTTCATTTGCATCTATAATAAATTACTGCCGGGGATTTGAAACAATGTCTTTCCCAAAATCATCACCTCAAAGTGACGAATCCTTTTAAAGTTTTATGTTGACTATATGAGGGGGATATTTACATTTCAACACGTGGGGTATATACAATATATATATATTTTCTATATTACGGGTTAATCTTAAACGGTAGTCACGCACATCTTGTTCTACACTTATTAAACGTTTCTTCTCTTGACAAGGACAAGGAGTTCACCAAGTGTATACATTTTTTCTTACGTTTGACCAGTAAAACTTATGATTCGGCTTTAGTAAAATCTAGAATATCGCATGCTAAATTCTGATGTAAAAGTAAAATAGGCTATAATGCATCTAAGAATGACAGACATTCTGTTGTAAACATTTTCTGTAATTTGACTTTCCATTGCATAAATATGTGGGTATATAGCTAGTGAATCTAATAATAAAATTAATGGTGTCAGAGAACGTCGTACTATTGTATGTTTTTGTTTGTTTGTTTGTTTGTGTGTGTTTGTTTTTTCTATAGTTTCACTGCAATAGCAGTAGTCAAGTTATGTGTGTTTTTGTTTTGTTTTTGTTATTTTTGCTGCCAATAAAACATGTGCTAACCCAAGTTTTGTGTGGTGACTTTATATCTTATTTAATCATATAATCATTATATTACCATTTAAAACAATCACTGCTCTTTAGAACTGTATCATTGCTCTAATAATTTCCAATAAGCCAAACTGAAAACGTTTAATAATCTGTTTTGTTAGGATTAAAAGTTAAAACAGAATTACAAAAATGCATTATTAATTATTACATCCTAAGTTTGCGTATCCCAACATTTAAAGATACATTCATTAGTACTCAAAGATGTTTTCAGGATCTTTATCACATAGATTAAGAATCCTCTGAAGTTAATGTTCTTCGTCTTTTTCAAAGGCTCCGCTGTAACACAGGGAAATTGTGTGAATCTTACTTTAGTCAAGTGTAATACCGCACATGTTTGCGAATGTTTTGGCCCCAGCGTTTCCGGTTTGGGGGTGGATGGTGGCCAGCCAGACACTTTTTGATGGAACAACATTGCCATCAAGCGGCAATTGTGTGTTAGGCCTACTCCATGAGCAAATTCAGCTGTGATGAAACGGAAGTTCAAAAGCTAATGGTTCTATAAACAACGGACATAACAACAGAATGAGCGAATTAACAGCTCAGTAAGTGCAAATTCAATGATGTTAAGTACTTATTTTCATTCTCTATAACAAGAAATCCATCTAAAAACCGACACTTATAGGATCGAGTCTTGTGTGTTTTTCATCATATCGAGAAAAGTAATTTAAGTAGGGTTGGAACACTAACACTAATGTTAAACCGTTAAAAAAAAAAAAATTCTGTCTTACTAGTATTTTGTTAATATTTTTAACTGTATTAAGCTTAACATTTAGAATGAGGCTCAAAAAGCATTCCGTCCGTCCATGATGTGCAATTTTTATTTGGGTTCCACTCTTCTTATATTAATGCCCAACTACTACTACCGCTATTAATAGTACCATTACCAAACCTGCTGCTGCTGCTACTACTAGGCTACTACTAATAATAATAATAATAATAGCAACAACAAGAGGCTAATAATAATAGCTGACGCTAGCGGCCTTCCACGTATTATTTTTAATTACATACACACGTTAGAAGAAAAAAAAGTATCCAGGCCACGAAATAACATTTCCATGCATAAATACCTCCCCTTTTTATTTGGGCTGCGTTCTTGTGCACTATTGTATCACCAGCATCACTAAAATACTATTAGTAATCATCATCATTATGTTGACTTTCCTTTTGTTAGTTGTCAATACTGACAGGCTTTAAAACCACAGAGATCAGTTAGTGTGTGTGTGTGTGTGTGTGTGTGTGTGTGTGTGTGTGTGTGTGTGTGTATTTTTTTAAAGAAATATTTCGATTTATTCGAAAGCTTTATTACATTATTATTCGCATCATTGATAATGTAAGTAGCTAGTTATATTACACTATACAACACCAAACCACACACCACGACATAACCATAATTCTTAAATTATTTTTGTTATTCATGTAGACTACATGAAAGCAGCTAATAAACACAATAAACTCAATGTTATAAATGCTATAAATAATAAACTATAGTGAACATTTTAGGGAATCTATGCGAATTTTAATGTAATGTGTGGTTTTGATTTTGAGAAAATTAAATATTTTTCTTTAGCAGTCGGCCTTTGTATCACCAAGGCACAAACGGATGTGTACCTACAAAAAAGTCGAGCCCGGTCCCAAAGGTTGTAAACAAATTAGCGTTGGTCATCCCAGACGTCTCGCCAGAAATCCTTTTTGCGGCAGTTTATGGCCCGCTATAAGGGCTGTAGTGCGTTCGGAAATGGAACAAAGGGTGGGAGTCGATTGAATTGGACTCAGGGCTCTCATGTGGAAGTCCAGATCTCACTCATCCCGACCCCCTACTCTGTAAGGAATCTGGACGGCTAAAGAACAAACGCTGTACACAATAAACGACAAATGCGAGAAAGGGGAAGAAAAAAACAGGCTCCCCCAACGGAGACACAGTGTTTACGCAAATTATTTTGCCTTACAGTTATTAGAATCCTGAAACGTTTTTCACAATTTCTCCCATTTTTTCTCGCGTAGTGTTTGCTTTACAGCCATTTAGTTCTTAACCTTCAGAAATGTATACCCTATAAAGTTTTATTACAGTCATATTATTTTATTGCGGCACACCACATTGAATTTCTTTCTCTTTTTTATGACAGTCGACTTCCCATTTCCTTCGAACATCGAGCGTACATCCTTTCTGCAGTTTGTTTGCTTTCAAAACACCAAAATAAAGGGCGTTAATGGTGCGGCAGGACTCAAAATATCTTCTCAGCTCTAGAATCACCAGGACAGACTTATGCTGAATTAATATGTGACGAAGGCTGAATTCGTACACACATCTGTGAGCCAGGACAACTGGCAATGTCTTCAAAAATATTTAATTGTTGCAATATGTTGAATGCAGAACTTTTTTAAAGCTTCTTTCTTTCCTCTTTCTATTTGCAATTGTGTCAACTGCATAATGGGTAGAACATTGACTGTCTAAATTTGTAGTCAAATCATTGTATTCTTTATTTATTTATTTTTATTATTGCTATGCAACTGCATATGGCTATATTTACCATCGCATTTGAAATGCACATTTTCTCTTACATTATTGAGTGTCTACTCTAGAACTTCAGAGCCTGAAACATTTAGACCTACCTTATCCCTTTTAGTTTGCATAATTTATTATGCATCGCCTCTGCAAGCAAAATATCCTTCTTGACTCTTGATGCATAGCTTGCATCTGGAGGATGCGGTATAGCCAAATGTAACGCCACAGATATCATAAGGGAATCAAATAATACGTTAAGAAGAGAGCCAAAGCAAAGATGTGTCATGGTTATTCTCAGTAATTCGTCTTTCCACATATGAGCTGCACGTTTCTTCATTCCGATTCAAGATGAATGAATGCTCGAACGCACGATAACATATTTACAACATATGACTGACTCTCATTATAAAATGCAGTAAACATTAAAGTAGAGTACTACAGCATGTCCTTCGCTACAGCACAAAAGGACGAGATAAAGTTTGGGCTGGTTTACAATAAAAAAATATAAAGGGCAATTATTGTGCCAAATCAGAGAAAGAGTTGACGTGCTAAATAAATAAATAAATACATAGGCTACTTACATACACACATACACACAAAAAAGCAGCAAAGACTTCAAT